AATTTTAAAAATCGTGGAATCAAAAAAACATCAACAAATCGAAAAATCAAAAAACTGATAAATCGAAAAATCTAAGATTTATAAAGTCGCAATATTCTGTCTTTCCCTTGATGAAAATCTCCAGCCATAGGAGACTAGTACTAGCAAGATTAGACTGGTTTTGGCAAATAACATATCTTCTAAGAAACAAAGGGCGGGTGGGCGGTGTTTTTTTACTTATTCGATATTTCAAAATTTTGCGACTTCTTAAATCTTAGATTTTTCGATTTTTCAATTTTTTGAATTTTCGATTCGTCGACGTTTTGATTTCTCGATTTTGTAAATTTTCAATTTTTCGAATTTTTAAATTTTAGATTTTTTACTGTTTATTGTTTCGATTTCTCAATCTTTCGATTTTCTGCCTTCTTATTTTTGGAATTTCTTGATTTTTCAATTTTTCGGAATTAATTTTTCAGTTTTTTGATATTTCGATTTTTAAGTTTTTCAATTTTTGGCGTTTCCAAATATTTGAATTTTTCGATTTCCCAATTTCTCAATTAATCGATTTTTTAATTTTCCCATTTTTCGATTTCTCTGCTTAAGTTTTGTAATTTTTCAAGATTTCGATTTTTAAATTTTTAGATTTTTCGACTTTCTGTTTGTTTGATTTTTTACTTACTCGATTTTTCAAAATTTTGCGACTTCTTAAATCTTACATTTTTCGATTTTTCAATTTTTCGATTTTTCGATTCGTTGATGTTTCGATTTCTCGATTTTGTAAATTTCAATTTTTCGAATGTTTAAATTTTAGATTTTTCACTTTTGTTGTTTCGATTTCTGTCTTTCGAGTTTTTGTCTTCCCATTTTTAGATTTTTCGATTTTTCAATTTTTCGGAATTAATTTTTCAGTCTTTTGATACTTCGATTTTTCAGTTAAAAAGATTGAGAAGTCGAAACAACAAAAAAGTGAAAAATGTAAAGTTTAAAAATTCTCAAAATCGAAAATTTTAAAAATCGAGGAATCAAAAAAACATCAACAAATCGAAAAATCAAAAAACTGACTAATCGAAAAATCTAAGATTTAAAAAGTCGCAATATTTTGAAAAATCGAATAAGTAAAAAATCAAAACCACGAAAAGTCGAAAAATCGAAAAATTTAAAAGACAAAGTAAAGGGTGTTTCAAAATAATTTTCATCTAGTTAGCTTTGAAATGGCTTCAACTCCTATCTTTCCCTTGATGAAAATCTCCAGCCATAGGAGACTAGTACTTGGCAAGATTAAACTAGTTTTGGCAAGTGACATATCTTCTAAGAAAACAAAGGGTGGGTGGGCGGGGCTAGTACTTGCTAAGATAAGACCGACTTTGGCAAATGACATATCCTCTAAGAAAAGAAAGGGTGGGTGGGCGGGGTTAATATTTGCTAAGATAAGACTAACTTTGGCAAATGACATATCTTCTAAGAAAAGATAGGGTGGGTGGCTGGTGCTAGTATTTGCTAGGATAAGACTGACTTTGGCAAATGACATACACTCTAAGAAAAGAAAGGCTGGGTGGGCGGAGCTAGTTTTTGCTAGGATAAGACTGACTTTGACAAATGACATACCCTCTAAGAAAAGAAAGGGTGGGTAGGCGGTACTAGTACTTATTAAGATAAGAGTGTTTTTGGCATATTACATACACTCTAAGAAAAGAAAGGGTGGGTGGGCGGGGCTAGTATTTGCTAGGATAAGAGTGATTTTGGCAAATGACATACCCTCCAAGGAAACAAAGGGTGGGTAAATATTAGAAATTGTCAAAGAAGCGGAAGAACAAAAATTGTTAGAACTGACGAGAACTCTTTTAAGAGAAGTCCAAATTATGTCAGGTCAAAACATGACAAGTTAAGTTATGTCAGAGTTGATCCGGACATACTAAGTCAGATGAACCCAGGTTACACCGGGTAGAGCAAAATCAATTTATTATAAGGTGAGTCATGCTTAGTCCAAATATGTCAGGTCAGAACGTGTCAAGTCAGGTCATGTCAGGGTAGATCTGGACATATTGCATCATGTCAGAACAAGTCATATCCAGTCAGGTCATGTCTGGTCAGGTCGTGTCAGGCCAGGTCATGTCATGGAATATTACGTCAAGTCATGTTAAGTCATGTCAAATTGAGTAAGTCAGGTCGTGTGAGGCCAAATCAAGTAATGTTTCGTCAGGTCATATCAATTCAGGTTATGAATTTAAAAAATCTCGGGAAACCTTTGTATTTTATCTTGTGTTTGTCAAATTTTGGCGCCCTAATTTTTTAAATTTTCGAGATGCCTTATGTTTAGTTTTTGAAAAGGTTTGGAAATATCTAGGGGATTCCTAGGGTTTTTTCCCTTTATGAAAACATCTTAGGAGCCTCCTGATTTTTTTTTTTTGGAAAAATTTTGAAAATGGATTTTGTTGTTTTTTTAGGAATTTGAAATTTTGAAGTCCCCTAATGTCTCTTTTTTAAGATGAAAGATTATTCACGATTCTTTATGTTTTATCATTTTGAAACATGTTGTATTTGAAAGTTCCAAAATTGAAATATAGAGAAGATAAATAGAAGATAATTTTTAAAAATTACGTTTCGTATTGTTTTATTTTCAAATTGTCAATATTCGTTAGTTTATTCGATTTCTCACTACGTCAGGTTGATAAAAACACCACTTCCCATTTAAAATCTACCCATGATAAATTTAAAAATTCATTACGATATGATAACTGCTTATAATACTTCAGTAATAATTGTTGCAATTATTATAAATTATTTTAATTATATTTTACATTATATCTTGATAAAAATATATGTACTCGGATCTCAGAGATAACTCCGAAACTCTGCAATGCTTGTACATAAAAAAAAAGAAAAATATTTAAGTGCACTCTAATGACTTTCTTTAAACTTTCTTTTAATCACTGATGCGTGCAATGTGACGACTAAAATTGAACGGTTGGAAGACTACTGATAGAAGCGACACGAGAGTAAAATGTTATAAAGATTTAACTTGTGGAAATTTTAATTGCATAATAAGCAACCATTGTTTGAAATCTATCCGTACTGATTTTTCTAAGACACAAGACAAGTACTCTTTTTTTTTGGCCGACGAATTTTCGAATTTTTCTGGCTTATGATTTTCAACTGTTGGTCACTTCACACTCACCTGTCGCAAATTCTAAATTATCTAAATCAATTAATATGTATGCCATCCGTTATGTACAACTAATAAACAGAGTCTGTAAATACCATGTGGTCTCTGTGGTTCTCTTCTAGAAATTTTGACTCATCATTCGTTTATGTGTAAACTGATAGGAATTTCCACTCTTTTATGATATCGATATTTGATGTTCAGTAGGGACCAAACAGGTCGGTGATATCCCAGCCCTGATAACCACTTAAAGATAAAACCCACAAAATTTGGTATTTTTATTTACAAGTAAAATGACAGTGTTCAACCGCTAGAAATAAGATATCGCTTATCTGAGGTTTAACTTCCATTGAAAAAATTATACGAAGCGATAGCCAAGCTATGTTTACTTTTATTTCACACTCCATTCCTCGCCATGTGGCTGTCGAGTGAGTCGATTTACCTGTCATCATGAGCAGCGTGTGTGAAAGAAGTCAAAAATTTAACAAAAATTTGTGTAACAGACAAGAATCATCATGTTTAATTGTGTAATTATAAATTATCTCTTTCGATCAATTAACTGTAGTGTACAAGTAAGCCAGTTGTGTACATCAGTGTTCTTTATTTTTAGATGGACAATCCGAGTTTCAGGAAAGATGGTGACAAGAAAGGTGAAAAAGGAATAGAATTATCAGTATCAAGTACAAATGGGGGCACATCAGCTAGCGAAAATTTAGTGGTAACTTGTTCTCCAGAAGTATGTAGGACGGCAAGGCAGAGGTATCCAGCACCGGACTTGGCCGGCAGCCCTTGGCATTTACGAAAGACTATTTCCCTAATAACTTTAATAGTGCTCTTAATTATTTGGATTATTATATTCACTACGTTAAAGCAACTACAAATTTTGTGATCCAAGTAGTATTAGTTGTATACTTCATCGTGTATATTTTTAGTTTAATTAAGCGAAGAACAACAAAATCCATTACTTCCATATTGTTTTTAACTTTAAGCTGCAACTGTAAATATAGCATTGTTTTTAGATGTTGTCAATTATATTTGCGGATACCGTTACTACAATTTCGTTTTCTTATTCTATTTACATGCAAGTGAAAACTTTGATGACATAATAGAAACGAGTGGGAAATGTTTAATAACAAGAATGTTTCCTCGTTTCAAGGTAACCCAGTGCCGCTAACAGTCAGTAGGTAAAACCCAACATTACTTAATTCTAAAAAACGCATCTGCTTTTGTCGTATTGTGTTTACTATTCTATTTTAAAATTTATCGCGGACAAGTGTTTGTTATCAATTAAACGAGACAATTCGATGATCAGTTTGATTATTTCGACACAATGAACAGCAGCACGGAAGTCCTGACGAAAAGGAACGGCGAGGTAATGTATTTGTGTTCGATATCGAATTACTGGTGTAAAAAATATTTAAATGTGGTGAATTTTCGAAATTCTTGTTAAGTAATTACGATTTTTATATAGGTCGTGAACGGAAGTCCTCCCAATGGTGCTAGTGCTAGTGCCTCGTCGAAGAAACCAAAAACGCAACAAGTGCTGATCGGCTGGGACAAACAGAAATCGTTTACTTTTATTGGACTTTCTCTTTGCTTTGTAGTATGGGCCTGTGTATATTTTCCGCTGATCATTTCGTGAACGACTTTCACTTTCATGTATATTTTGTATGCTAAATGTAAATACACTAAACCAATGTTATCACATATAACATATAATAGAAATGTTTTAGTTAATTTGAGTGTAATATAAAATAAAGGAAATATAGATATTGAGTTAAAAAATCTATTATCAGTTTGTGAAACAATTACATATGTTGGTATTTTAATAACAGACCAGTATGATTGGTTGGACTATTGTTGGTTGTCTATAACTGTAACATGTGAACTGTAAAGCCCAACATTTTGTGAATTGATTTCAAGGCGACTATAGAATCAAATTTATGATCAATGTTGCACGTGCTTAGACAAAGAATACATCTATAAAAGATATGTCACTAACGTCTCAACGTACATCTTATTTAATAGTGATCGTCAGTGCAATCATCGCTAGTGTATATTGTAAGTTGTTATAACCTTCATTCACTAGTTTGCTCCTAGTTACCTCTCATTTCTTAATCAATAACATACATAATTTATGTTCAAACTTAATGCTCCTTCACCTAGGGTAAACAAAACATGGCCAAATCTAACATTCATTATTATCGATTTATGTCAACCATCTTTATCTCTTCACGTTTTGCCAATAATAATTGCACCTTATCTCACTTGACAAAAAATTTGCCAATACTTATTAAAAATACACATGATAACAAAAAGTGTGCTAACTTACGTGTCTTTGAACTTACGATATTGATATGGAACTTTGACCTTTTCAATATTTGACATTCTAAGTTTTTGCGGTAATTTTAAAATGGTGTCATGTTGTATGTATACAGAGATATGATAAAGAAATGCACAAAATTCATAAAAAGCGCAGCGTCTGTTTTTGAAAAAAATGCAAAAACACGTCAAACAGCTTTTACGTAAAATTTATAACAAGTTATGACGTCACCAACATTTTTTTTTAAATGAGACTATAATTTTGTTTGGATTATTTGGTAAAACTTATTTCTCTACACATGAAAATGTAGCTTGATCTAGGGGTTGCATAACAAAAAAAAATGCCAATCTAGGAAAACCCCGGTTTCGAGTCCAGGGACCACTCGCCCATTATGTCTACATACATGATTTCGATATAATTACCAAACATTTGGATTAACTTTTATCAGATATCGATATCTTAACAAATAAAAGACTGTCCCACTGAAAGCAAAATCTAGGACACCCGTAGGTGCACGATCGCTCCAACTTTGCAAATATTGTGTTAACCCAAACATCCCGGCAAAATTGAGACATGTACACAAAAAATTAAAACCCGCGAAAATGTTCAAATTTTGCCTTGAATTGTGATCGTCGGCAAAATGGAACCCTACGTTGTCTGTGCATGTTGTTTTGCTTTTGTGTTTTCCGGGTTGGGACCGTGAACGCATCCGTGGCACTAGACGGGATCTTGATCTCGTGTCCAGAGACGTCCTAAAACTCCATTTAGAACTTTCCAATTCGTGATGCTCCATCGGCAGCTCTCCCTTTGATCGAATCACCCACGTCCAATCCCAAAAAACTCTAGACCAAAAGAAACAAATCGTCCAGAACCTGGTACTAAAATGGTCGTCAATTTGTCATTTTACCCCCTTTCTGACTCAGAGAACACACTTTTGAGATCAGGTGATTTCCCAACCGATGTACTCAAACGTCTAATACCCCGAAACTGCAAACCACCGTCGTCAGTACTTTAGAGTCTCCCACTTAGACTACAGCCCAATATCTCGCCCGTGTTCTGAAAGAATATACCGGGAAAACCTCCTCACATTTTGTCCAACTGATCTCCGAAATCTCTCTTGACCCCGAAGAGAATTGTCAGTTTCGACGTAACATCTTTATTCACAAAAGTCCCTGTAGCCGAGTCCTTAACATTAATCCGTGAATTGCTTTTCAGTGACGGACAACCTCCACTTCTAGGCGATCTCGCGGAGTAATGCCTAACCTCCACATATTTTCCCTTCCGAGGCCAATTCTACATACAAATCTCTGGTACTCCCATGGGATCCCCTCTCTCACCAGTCGTCGCCACTATTTTCATGGAAGCTTTTGAAGACATCCATTGAATCCGCCCAACACAAACCCAAAGTCTGGTTCCGCTACGTGGACAACACATTTGTCATATGGCCTCATGGTCAAAACGCCCTTTCAGTCTTTCACGACCATCTCAACAGTCAACACCCCGACATTCAGTTTACCATGGAAGTGGAAACCAACAATTGTGTTCTTTTTCTTGATATTATGGTAACCAGGTTACCCGAAGGTCGACTTGGTCATTCAGTCTATCGAAAATTTACCCATACCGATCGATATCTTCACTGTCTGTGATTGACTCACGCATTCATTGAACCACCATCATTTGTCAACTGAGCACACTGCAAAAAGAATTAGAACATCTCCAAACATTTCTTCCACAAAATGGATACGACCACCACACTATCATACGTTGAGAAGTTGATGAGGCAAGGCACAAGATGCTCCAATACCTAAATCCCAAAATAATTATATTGTCGTGCTTGCGTTTTTAGTTAACATGGATATTTTTTCGGAAAAAATGAAATTTTAAAAACATTAAGCACGTCAAAAATGTGTAACTTTTCTATCCGAGAAAATCTAATTCATATTTGATTAATTCTAATATCAAGAACATAATTCATTTCATTTCGTTTATGACGTCTCAACGGTAAAATATCGACACCAAGTTTTCCATAAGTTTTGTTAAAAATGGTCACTGTGTCTAAATTCGCATAATTTACATAAGTTGTTTGCAGCAAATTCTTGGCTTTGAGAATATGTTGAAAAGTTAATGCGAAAGTTTCTAGAAAAATTACACTTTGTTACAGATTTGTTTCAGTTCTTTGAAATTGTCTCAATATCCTTCAAATTCCCTCAGATTTTCTAAGAATTTTTCAGATCTTTACTAATCGTTTCAGGTCCTCTCAAATTTTTCAAGATCGCTTTGGATCCTTTGAGATCCCTGCGAACTGTTCCAGATTCTTCCAGTTTTTCTAGGTTTTACTAGATTATCTCAAATTCTCTCAGATTTTTCTAGGTTTGCCTAAATTCGTCTCTGATTCTTTCTAATTCTTTCCGATCCTTAGTTTCATATTCCCTCAGATTTTCTTGGATTCCCTTACATTCTCCTAGATTCTTTCAGGTATTTTCAAATTCTTTCCGTTTTTTAAAAATTCCTCCTTTGGGATCCCTTTAGATTCTTTCGGATTATTCTGGATTCTTTCGAATTTTTTCCAGTTCTATTCACATCGTTTTAGAAACTTACAGATACTTTCAGATCCCTGCAGACTCTGCGAAGTTCTTTCAGATTTTTCTAGATTCTTCGAGATTCTCTCAGGTTCTCACAAATTCCTCCAGATTCTTTCAAATGCTTTCGGATTGTTTCAATTTATTTTTGATTCTCTCGTTCAGATTTTTTCGTTTTTTGTTTTATTCTTTCCGATGCTTCCGGATTGCTTCCAATTCTTTAAAAAAATTTAAGACTCTTTCAAAGACACCGTCAGAAATCGTCAAGAGTCTTTGAAATTTTTCAGTTCTATACAGATCGTTTTGGACCCTTTCAGATCAGTACCGATTCTTCCTGATTCTTCCAGATTCTTTCAGTTTTTTTTAGATTCTTCTAGATTTTTCGAGATTCTTCGAGATTCCCTCAGATACTTCCAGATTCTTTCAGGTGTCTTCAGATTCTTTCCTTTTTTAAAGATTCTTCTTTTTGGATTCCTTTGGATTCTTTCGGATTATTCCGGATGCTTTGGGATGCTGTCGGATTGTTTCACATTCTTTCGAATTTTTTCTAGTTCTATCCAGATCGTTTTAGAAACTTACAGATACTTTCAGATCCCTGCAGACTAAGTTCTTCCAGATTTTTCTAGATTCTTCGAAATTCTCTCAGGTTCGCACAGATTCTTTCCGAATTTCCCAGTTTCTCTCAGATTCCCTCAGATTCTTTCAGATTCTCTCATATTCCTTCAGATCCTTTTCAAATCTCCCAATTTTTCTCTGATTCCTTCGAATTTTTCCAGATTCTTTCAAAGACACCGTCAGGAATCCTCAAGATTCTTTCAAATTTTTCAGTTCTATACACATCGTTTCAGACCCTTTCAGATCAGTACCGATTCTTCCTGATTCTTCCAGTTTTTTTTTAGATTCTTCGAGATTCCCTCAAAATCTTCCAGATTCGTTCAGGTGTTTTCGGATTCTTTCCTTCTTTTAAAAATTCTTCCTGTCGGATTCCTTTGGATTCTTTTGGATGCTGTCGGATTGTTTCACATTCTTTCAATTTTTTTTCAGTTCTATTCAGATCGTTTTAGAAACTTACAGATACTTTCAGATCCCTGCAGACTCTACTAAGTTCTTTCAAATTTTTCTAGATTCTTCGATATTCTCTCAGGTTCTCATAGATTCTTTCCGAATTTCACAATTTCTTTCAAATTCTTTCAGATTCTCTCATATTCCTTCAGATTCTCCCAAGTTCTCTCAGATTCCTTCAAATTTTTCCAGATTCTTTTATTTTCTTTCTGATTCTCTCTTTCAGATTTTTTAGAAATTTTTCAGGTTCTTTCAAAGACACCGTCAGGAATCCTCACGATTCTTTCAAATTTTTGAGTTCTATTCAGGTCGTTTTAAAATCGTGCAGATACTTTTAGATCCCTGCAGACTTTTCCAAATTCTTCCAGATTTTTCTTGATTTTTCAAGACTCTCTCAGATTCCCACAAATTCCTCCAGATTCTTTCAAATGCTTTCAGATTCTTTCAATTTATTTTTTATTCTCTTGTTCAGATTTTTTCGTTTTTTTTTTTATTCTTTCCGATGCTTCCAGATTGTTTCCAATTCTTTAAAAAAATTTAAGATTCCTTCAAAGACACCGTCAGAAATCCTCAAGATCCCTTCAAATTTTTCAATTCTAAACAAATCGTTTCAGACTCTTTCAGATCCCTGCAGATTCTTCCAAATTCTTCCAGATTCTTCCCGTTTTTTTTATTCTTCTAGATTTTTCGAGATTCTTCGAGATTCCCTGAGATCGCTCCAGGGAATGTGAGATAATCTCGAAAAATCTAGCAAAATCTAAAAGAATCTAGAAAAATCTGGAAGAGTCTGCAGACATCTGAAAAAATTTCAAAGGATCTGAAACAATGTGAACAGAACTGAAAACAGATTTTTTCGATACTGTCAGATTCTCTCAGAATTTATCACCTCTCATATCGTTTCAGATTCTTCTGGTTTTTTCTAGATTCTTCTGAATTCTTCGAAACAGCTACCACAACAATAATTTTTCACGTTTATTTTTAAAATATTAGAAAAAAAACTTTTTGTTGACCAGACATGTATCAGTCAAAAATAATAAAAATAATAATACGGCGTAAATTTATAGCTGAGGCATTGCCTCACCTGCCTCAAGCCGCCCGTGATTGAAATCCATAAATGGCATAATCTCAACCGAGCCAATGGTTATTATCTGTCAAATGTTTGGAAGCCCAAACTGGATGCAATTACTCGTTTATCTCCCCCCACTCTGTCTGGGGCCGTCCAATCAGCTTCAGCCACGACGGTCTCCCCCACCACGTCTCTATAAAAAGGTCACAACCACATTCTTTACTGCCAGAAGATTTTTGCCTCTGGTATGATTGACATACTGAGTTACCGTGCTCTTTTACCTTCTTCCTAATTTTTCAACCCTGCTCCTGAAGATGTCGCTTACGAAAGTGTGCGACACTTTGAGCCCAAAAATTCAATTGAGACAGTCCCAACTCGGCAAACGATCATATATGAAAAAATCTAAGCCGCTTCGTTTAGACCAATCCTACTATAATTTTGGGTTGAACTAGAATATTTAAGCCGATTCATTTAAACCTTCGTCTAAAGTTTATAACAGTATGTTTTAAACCGCTGAAACGTGTTTAAGCTGCTTACTTTTCTCAATATAAACGGGTTAAATATAAATATTTGAGTACCACAAATTTAAAGGCACAAAAAAAAAGGAAATCGTCATCAAAAGAACTAGATGTAAATACATAAGTCATTGCGATGGTTTGGCGATCGAAAAATCAGTGAATATGCAGCAAATTCTCGTCTTCTTCGCTGATTTTACTGTATAACACATTTCTCTGCCTAAAAAACCTGCCGCATATTAACTGCGCCTTTCACGCGGACACGGGTCTCCCTTTAGATCATATAATAAATAGTTACCAATACTCATTTTGGAAGCTGTAACAAGATATGGAGTGTTTGACATCAAGGGGACTAGACTTGTGTAATCACCACATCTCCACCTTTATTATACGTATATCTCATGGTACAACAAGACATGATATAAAATTGCGCCAACTTTAAATTCTGGCTTGTTCTATCCACCGCAGTGGCATATCATGTCCTCTTTTCTAAGTTATTCTCGGTCTCAGCAAATTTTTCTAAGTCCGGATTTCTTCCTAAAATAGTGGAAAAATCACGAAGCACACAGACACCGTGGCCCATGGTACCTCGAAAGTTGAATGAAATTCGCTTTCTGCGCTACTACTTTTACAGGGATTTTTGCCCATTTAATTTATCCCCGCGAGGATAATAAAAAGGTTGAATGTATAGTTTTCCTGGGATGTGATTTTAGTTCTTATTTCACTGATTTATAAGGTTTAGTTTGGTTTGAGTAGGATTTCGTCTCTGACGGATTTACGAGAGTTCGGTGTCGTAATTTTTTCGGTTTTTTCAATTTCCTGCTACTGTTGCAGTTTGGGTACGAATGCTATTGAAAGTAATTGCGATTGGCAATTTTTATGGTGTACGGTTCTACGCATATTGTTTGCAATGTCTGATAAGCGCAATGATATTTGCAATTTGCGAAAATGCGAATTTTGTTCTTACGTTTGGGGATTAATAGTCGATTTTGATTGTCTCTTTGAAGGGTACTATATGCAGATTTGGACACGCGTGTTACGTAATTAAGATTTGCAAATTTGCATGCGTTTACTTTAACTTTATCAGTGTATAATCATAATGATATTATGTTAATTATAATGTTGATGTATGCATGGACTACAAACTAACTTCCCAATTGACATTATTGCATTAATAGTGCGTTTTTAAATTTTTTTATGTATACGTACCTTTTCCCAGTATACATATTATTCACCGGGGTAGGGAAAAGGAGAATTGGATGTCATTAATAACAAATAGTAATTATGCAGTGCGGGTTCTGCTCACTTTTTGGCAGGAAAATTTGAATTTCGACTCACCGGCCAAGGTCAACTCTCATCGGCTACGGCGCATTAATTCAAATTTTCCCACTAAAAAGTGTCCCAAAACCCGCATCATGTATCCAGTTTTAAAGCTGAATGTTGCCTAAAAGCCACTAACCAAACCAAAATTGTATTAACAACTCGCCTTAAACAGGTTAACCTGTCGTGCAAACCAACTAATAAAACATTGTGGATGCTTTTCGCAGTATATTTTATCAATCAAACTGAAATTTTATTAAAATGTGTATAGGTAGAGATGTTTCCTACATGAAACAGTCCGATATTCAAAATAACTGGTCGAATTTGCAAACTTGGGGTTCTAGTCAAAAAAACTCTACTACTCCTTGGCCATCTTTACATAGTGGATATACACATACCGGCTATGTAAACAATCCAACGTGGGTTAGACCCACTACGGGACAACACGTTATGACTTCTTGGCAAAGGCAGGGACCAAATCGTAATTTTAATGCAGGGTCATATGGAAGTAATCACCAGCCGAACACTAGACCTAATTTACCTTCAAGTGATGTGACGGACGATGATCTTAAACAATTTTCCGAAAATTTACTAGACAAGGATGTCAATAATGCTGCAAAATATGTGACAATCAATCTACAAAGCAAAACAACCTCAAGATCTGATCGGGACGAAGCTCCTTTACCGTGAGTTTAAGAAATAAAAAAAATACATCTGGACTAGTTTTATTTTTTTAGTTTGTTGTCTATTGATAAAGAAGCTTTTAGTATTGCTTCTATTGAGAAAATGTTACAGCTTCACAACAATTATATTGTCGAAAGTAATGTTAACGAACACTACACAGCTCAAGAGAAACAAGAAGAAAATAATCTTTTAGACGTAATCACCAATACACCCGTAATGCAATACACCAGGAATTTTTTAATAGATAAAGGTAAATTCGTGATATTTTCAACTTTCCATGAAACAATTTTTTTTTAGGCAAAATTGGTCGTGACCCAAAAGAATTTAAAGATGTCTTACGTGAAATTTGGTTTAATATGTACGCAAGAGGAGGTGGTAGAATTGGTTCCAGTGGTTTTGAACATATTTTCCTTGCCGAATTAAAGAATCATCAAGTTTCTGGGTTGCATAACTGGCTATATTTTGAGGCAGAGGAAAAAAACAACCAAGCTAATTATCTCGGCTATATGAAGAAAGTCGATCTTGGAGACGTAATTAAGTAAGTAAATGTTATTGTACATTATGTTTTTAAGTAATTTTCAGAAAGGAGCTATATTAAAATTTCACTTCACGTTTCGTGGAGTCGATAAACCTGTGGGGTCTATGTTTATAGGAACTAGCCCAGAGTTTGAAATGGCTCTGTATACTACCTGTTTTTTGTTAAGAGCAGATAAAATTTGCCCCTTGTCTCTCAATGGGCATAGATTTATTATACGAGCATTCACTTATCGATACCGAGGAAAGAAGTTGATTGGAAGCGCTTTTCCCGAAATCTAACCAATTTTCAGGTTTTTAAATACGCAGATCAGATCTTTAACTTCCAGATCTCATCACTTGTTTTTATAAAGTTACGTTGTTGTTGTTGTGTGTTAATTTTAAAGTAAATAGTGTTCGCGTATTACTTAATTTTTTACCATTGAGTTGTAACTGAATGTTTTAAATTTATTATACTTATTGTTGTATTTTATTCATCAACCTTTTGATTTTCCACCTCATCTAAACTTTGGGATTGTTTGAGCACAGTTACCTATGTATTTTATAAGAATAATATTTTTACGTTTTTCGGTAATTAAAATCGGAGCCTGTAAAACTCGACAAGTTATTTCTTGGTAATACTAATTTACAAGACTAACTACGTATACAGCAATAATATAGAGAATAATTCAAACGTAACCTAATTCGTACTCATTGACTGGACTTCAACTGGCCGTTCCTGGCGGTCGGTGGTCCTTATTTAAATTGCCACCGCTCTTTTCTAGATACTTCGCGATCGAGGTTGTTCTGGAGTGCCCATCGCGACTTCCGCCTCCAGGTCTTTTTTTTGTCGAGCGCCGCCATCGGTGATGAGTTATCACCGCTCATTACCGTACATACTAAAAAACTCATAGGCGTCGGACTGAGACGGTATATGAGTGTATTTCGTAGTATCATGTAGTAAACAATAACATATTTAGAAACAACACAAAATTTAATGACTTTACTATTGACTCAACATACTAAAACAAGTTGGGCTACTAAAATTTCCGAAAAATGGGTGAATCATTTTTTGACGACAGCAGTAAATAATTCAAAAAATAAAATTATGTTAACAAAAACAAATGAGATTGTACCTAAGAAAATATCTTTAGTAAATATTTGATTAGTAATTTTTTGAGGTGACGTTATCAACAATACATACTTGATATTCCATAATTACTAGATGAAGCTGGGTATTTTTTTAATACGTCAAAGGAGTCCATTGTGTAAGATTTACAAGCTGTAAGGCAGTAAATCGTTAATCAAAATTTATTCGTTTTTCCTAAAAAACTGACGACGTTATCTCAAAATTTTGCCGAGGATCGACACCATTCATCTGAAATATGCAAAATATTATGCTGTACACTAGTAGTTTATCAATGCACTCATAGTTTTTAGAATTACCTATAAAGGGTAACTCAAAAAAATTAATGAATGGTGATTTGTGGAAAGTGCAAAACCGATTGCTTTGAAATCTTGTAAATATTTTAAAGTTATCGTAATCATGGTAAATCGTTAAGCAAAATGTATTCGTTTAGCCCCTTCCAACAAATTTCAATCTCAAAATTTTACCGAATAAATCCTATCCAAAATGTGCAAAATATGATGAGTCTATACTTGTGATTTATCACTGCATTAAAAGTTTTTAAATTTCTTATACAGCGTGCCTCATAAAAATTAATGAATGAGCCAATTTATTTTATTGATTAAATCGGGAACAGTTCACTCCGTTTTCCCGACAATTGACGTAGACCCCTAGAATACGAATTCCGTCGTTTGCGTGAATTTTTGAATGTATATTAAGAATATCGTGTATCTAACCAAAATTTGTCTGATAAAAATCGATAACGCCATGTTACAGTGTTGCCGAATTAATGTAAAATATGCACAATGTTAATTCTAGAAATTACAGAAATTCCAAAATTCTGACCGAATTTGTGGAAAAATTCCAAATGTCATGAAAGTCCCAAATTTCTAACCGTTTCAAAGGTTTTAAAGCTTTCAAGGATGCCAAAAACGCCAAGGACTACAAGAATTTCAGAAACTCAAAAGATTTTAAAAAGTTAGGAAGCCGGCAATTTAAAAATTCTAAAGGGGTTTCAGGTATTTCAAAAATTTCGAAGATTTCACAGGTTCCAAATATTTAAAAATTGGAAGGATGATAAAAATCCCAAAGATCTAAAAATATTTAAAATTCTACTGATACTAAAGTATCTAAAAATAAAGAAAATCTGAAAGCTCTAAAGATTATAGAAATTCTAGTGATTGTAGATTCTAGAGATTCTAAAAATTCCAGTTTCCAGTATTTGTAAGATTCAAAAAGTATAAAAGCTTTCACGGATTACATACACTAGAAATTGCGAAAGTAATGAGTTTATGACACTTAAGAACAAATAAACTAAAGTTCTAATGTTTTAAACATAAAAACGATCCAATAAAATCTTAAAAAATTTAAAGAACCTGGACGTAATAATGATCCTAGCAATTGCAGAAATTTTAGACTTTATAAAACTCCTAGTAATTCCCAAAGTGTTCAAAATTTCCATAGATTGAAAAGACTCTAAAGAGTTTAAAGACTAAAGCTTTTAAAGGCTCCAAAGGGTCAAAAGCTAAAATTCTGTTTCGAATACTTGAAAGATTCTAAAGGTTCTAGAGAAATTCCAAAAAACCAAAGATTCTAAAACTTGTAAAAATTGCGTGAACTCTTAAAATGCCAAAGATTTTAAATATTCCAAAGACTTTAAAGAAAACAAAAATCTTAAAGACCTAAAAATCGTAAAGATCGGAAAAATGCTTTCTTTAATTTTTATAAATCCTAAAAGCACTGAAGGCCTTGAACACCCTAATTATTATCTTATAAGTCTTGGAGACTGTAAATATTCCAAAGACTACAGAAATTCCAAAAATTTAGACTGTTGAGATCTAAATACAAATTTTAGAAAATTTGAAAAAATTTAGAAAGTGTGGGAAAATGTGGTAGAACTAGAAATCTTGAAAATATTGGAAAAGGCTGAATTTCAAAATTCTGGTATAACTGGAGCCTGATAATTTTAGAAATTTTGGAAAATGTGGAAATTCTGGTCATTTTGTCCAAATTACGAAAATTCCCAAAAATTAAAAGAAAATAAAAAAAATTAATCTCAAAATTTCAAAAGTTTACAAAATTTTAAGATTGTAGATATTCTAAAAATTCCAAAGCTTCCAAATGTTTGAAATATGTATTTAAAAGATTTCAAACTTTTAAAAAATTCTAAAGATTTGACACATTCTAAAAATCTTAAACTTTTTATACACTAGAATTTGCGAATTGTAAAGACACCAAAGTAGCTAAATAAACTAAAGTTTTAGGTTCTAAATAGAAGAAACATCCAACAAAATCCTAAAAATCGTAAAGGTTTTGGAAGTATTACTGTTCCTAGAAATTATAAAAATTCTAAACTTTATAAAATTTCTAGTAATTCTGAAATATCCAAATTTCCAAAGATTGTGAAGACTCAAAGGATTTTAAAATTATGTTCCAAATATTTCAAAGATTCTATAATTTGTGAAAAACGCATGAACTTTTAACCTGACAAAAATTTTAAAGATTCCAAAGACTCTAAACAAAACAAAAATCATAAAAATCAAAAAATCGTAAAAATCTGAAGAATGCTTCCTTTAATTTTATAAATCCTAAATTATTAGGAGTCCTGAACACCCTAATTATTATCTTATTCTTATACATCTCAGAGATTCCAGAGATTCCAAAAATTTCAAAGATTTAAAGACTCTTGGAGGTCTATTAATTTTAGAAAATCTGCAAATATCTAGAAAGTGTGAAAAATTTGGAAGACCTATAAATCTTGAAAACGCAGGAAAATGTTGAATTCTGGTATAGCCGAAGACTGATATTTTTATAAAATTTAGAAAATCTGGAACTTCTGGAAATTTCCAAAGTTTACTCAATTCTAGAAATTCTAAACATTTTATTGAATTTGTGAAAATATTCCAAATACGTACTGTGAAAGTTCAAAGTCTTCTCTAAATTTCAAAGATTTCGAGAATTCCAAGGGTGCCAAAACTCTAAGAAGTCTATTAATACTAAATTGATATATGTGCCCTTGCTCAAATGTTTATGACGTTATCAAAAAAAAAAATTGATAATAATTTTTCGAAGCTGTATTTGTTCGACTGTACTTTAGGGGCTAGGGAAGTTGTGTCGAAATAATTTTCAACCAATTTTTTTTTTATTTTTTATATGATCTCCACTTTCGCGAGAGAAGGGTTAAAAAATAAATTTTAGTCAATGATCCAAGGGTAGTGTCTTAAAATTTTGAAAAGAGTGTCCTTTCTGTAAAATTAAACTTTGACCAATCTTTTTTATGAGAACCCGTATGTGCAAGGTCAAAAGCATGGATACATTATTAAACTTTTGACGAGAATAAATCAACAAATTTGGTTAAAGTTACACCATCTACATATTTAATTACACAGTTATAGCTTCCCCAGTTCTAATTCGGTTTTATGATAGTACCCCATTGTGTAATAGTTAACTTCCTTAACAATAGATAACTACTGCCGGTGATGGAAAAGTCATAAATCTTGGGATTTAACCATGGCGTTATTTACCATTATACCGTTAATCACCGACAGTAGTAATTTATTGTTACGAAAGTTAACTTTTAGACATCATAAAACCGAATTAGAACTGGAGAAACTATACACTGTGTGTACAAGCGTCCCAGTTAAAATTTCACGGTCTTATATCGTGAGAACGGATAGATATTGAGATTCTGTAAGCGCCATTGTTTTTAAGCTTAAAGGGAGATCCTTAATTTAGTATATTGTAAAAATGACACATATGAGTTGGGTTTATCATTAAAATGCGATTAGAATCATATAAGAACACTTAGTTTCAGTTGATAAAAAATATAAAATATAGACATAAAAAAAGAAAGTTTTATACATGATTTTGTAATCAACAAGATCTCTTTCCGAACCAGTTATTTTAGCGTATGTTCGCACTGTCGTAGTTTATAATTTTTATTTTTTTAACATCTGAAAATGAAATAAATATGTATAACACTTACGTAAGTCAGTCTTGCTTAACCACTTTTTTCGACGACATCATTAATCGAACATACAAAGTATTACAATAAATGCACTTAATTAGATCTACCAAAAATGAAGTAAAACTTAAAAAATAGCCGGTTCAGCGTTTCAAGGGCGCCGGTCTTAATTTTTCCAGTGCTGGCTCAACAGGCCCACCCGCCCCTGCTTTATATAATAATGTAATTTTATTAATGTAACCAAAGTCACACGTTGTATATTGGTTAAAAATACGACATAAAACATGTTTAAATAATAATTATGTTGGCGAGTTTTCTCTAAAAAAAATTGACCTTGTGTTTGATATACTTAATTAAATTGCGACAATACGTACTAAACTCACTAGTATTAATGTGTGTACCTTGTGATAACCCAAACTTCCCGCCTTAAAATTTGACCTTGAAACAGTTTGAAAGGCCCGCGAAAAATTCAAAAATTCAAAGTTTGGCCTTGGCTGTGATCGTCTAACTAATGAGAACCTACGTTGTGTGTGTTTTTTTTTTTTGTGGTTTTGAAAAGTGGCGGGAAGACGTTCTTTCATACAAGTGCATACACTGTCGAGAGCGCAAGAAATAATAGACAAAATTAGGAGCCTTCCTAAGGAGGAAAAAGAAACGAAGAACGACAGACGCTCGATTTGCCCTTCTGGCGAGTCCGCAGGGCCAAGGCATCATCGGTCTTCATTCCCCAAAACCCCCTGGGGTTTTATTCACCGACATATTACATGTCAGACACCTTAAGATATGTGAAAGAAAAACACTCGCGAATTGACAGACATACACATATGAAAACCGAACGAACACAAGACCTACACATATGTAAATTGGATGGCAGAACCCGAATCATTATGAGAGTGTGGCGATCGAACAAAATATAGAGCAAAATATATCAATTTCATTTACGAGCACAGCAAAATACCCAGAGGGGGCGTTGTAGCGCAAGTGGAGGTTGGGACTCCTGATCGTCACTGTTCTCCCTCACGACGGTGATTCTATCTACACCAAAGCCTGCTCACACGCACATCTCCATTACGAACGTGCCCTGCGAAACGAGGCGGTTACGATCGCAGATCCGTAGTGGGGTCCCGGCTATCACGAAACCGGCAGCGTTAAAAACCCGCGACCGCCCCCTGAAGCTATACAAAACCCGCGGACTTGTGCAGGTGACGCGATTAATCCCGTCAGTTTGAGAAGAAGTCGCGCGCCCCACGTACACTACGAGTTATGTGTTATTTACCTTCAATTTCATTTAAATGTTCAAACTCTATGACTCTAACATTAAATGACAACCGAACAAGCGTTAAAGTTTCAACAAAGAGCAATCCACAACATTTAAATTCGCCACACACTCTTACGAAAATTCAACAACAAATGATTCTTAATTGAGATTAAATTTGGACATCCGATAATTTATATGAGAGAAACATTCATCAACAAAATATTTACATGAGCAAAACTTAGCAAAGATTTAAAAAAAACAAGATCTGGTGTGAAATAAGCTTGTACAAATTAAATATCATGTTAGGTCAGAACTGCAGAGCATGGAAATTTACGTTCAATTCAAATTATACAGCAAAGAAAATTACTGAAGCTAAAATTATGAGACAAAGACAAATTGCATGAGGTGAAAGATTGTAAAGTTAACAGATTTACATGTGATTAATATTAATTCGTGTCCAGTCAAGTTATTGGTTAAAATTCAAAACGTGAAACTATTTTGCTGCATTGTGGGCCATTATTACACACACATTTCCCCAAACAAAACACATAAACAAACATGGCAGACAATCTGCAGATCCAAAATGGCGTTGGACGAATTCGTCATTCCAAATAATAGGCGTCGAAAATATGCGATGCAAAAATACGATGAATCCTGTGACGTTGTATAAACGATGTGCTAAATAAAAGGCATAAAGGCACGTCCCCCCATGACCCACAATGTTGTTAATTTTGTTCAATAGATTCAGTTAAAACATGTGCTCGATTAAAAGAAACAAATGGACGCTTCAAAATGGCCGCTGCCTGAACAAAGAACGGTGAAAATAACAACTCGTTTGCCGCCATCCAAAATACAGATTTCACAAATATAGCTAAATAAAGCATGGCCCGAACTAGAAATCACTTCCTGTAAAGCCCTACTGCGATGGATTTTAAATGAAAGATAAAAAAAACGAGATTAGTGGAAAAACAAGCGCACGCGTCGCTGCGTCACGAGGTCAGAAGTATCGTCGGGACTTGAAACTCGCGGCGAAACAGGTGTTCAAAACATACCTCTCCAAAGATGCGAATATTTCGACACGGCTTACCGCCAACAGGAACACAAAAACCTCGTCGTAAGAACGATGAGAAATCAGGAACACCCAATGGCTCAACGGGGGCTGCTAAGTTTTCCAATGGAACTGGATCAACACTGGAAAAACAAAACACAACAGCAAAAGGCACAGAATAATTCACAATTAAAAATACAACCTGTTGCTCGAAGCGCTCGAAAAGAAGTCGACTGTTCTCTCGAAGCGATGAAAAGGAAGTGACTCATTTTTCAAGACAATATCACCCTCGCTTTGCGCATCTCTGTTTCTTTGGGGTGGTTGGTTGCCAACCTCTCCTTCTTCTCACTAACCGTTTCTTGTGCGCGCGGAATTCGTTTGAAATTTAAAAATTCGAATTGGATCCTTACAACCTATAATGTTAAATGTTCCGAGTGAAAATACCATAGTTTTGATGGTGTTTTCATGTTGCTAGGATTACATTTGTGTAACACAATGAAAGACATCGCACATACATAAGCACACCGATAACATTCTCTATCGCAGCGATAAATATACACATCTCAGCTGAGGTCATTTAATATGTTTGAAAAACAACTTCACTGATTAATATCTGACTTAAATTCCTACAACTTGGTTGTATCTTTCCACTTCTGTATTGCTGGCATGGTATTATTAAAATGTACTTAAAGTTGTGCAAAACGTATTTATTTAATAAACTCGGCGGCAGTCTAAGTCGTCCTCAAACACACAAATTATCCAGAAGTTATCACAGCGACAACGTATTCGGTTTCAAAGGAAAAAGTAGAATTGTACACAAAGGTAAGTCTAATCGATAAATGTTTATTGCTTTATATCACTAAGTACTGATCTGTTTACATCGAAAATATTTTTTAGTGTCTGAGGATGTCTTAAGCAATCGATGCAATCAGAGTAATTTTTATAGATTAGTAACAGCATACAGGCAACATGCGCACAAAAATGCAGATATCAATCCAGTTGCACTCACTAGGGAAATTAAGTATGGCTAAATTTTAACGTCGTGGGGTGAACTGATTTTGATACAAAAAAACCCGAAAATCGAAATCAATTCACACCCACCCACCCCGAAAATATATACTTACAACCCATTTGTAAAAACTTATTTTAGCATTTCCTCCGAGTTAGATCCTAAACACTACTGCTTAACTCAGAATGATAAAATTAACTTTCTCGGAATTATCAACATGGGAAAGGAAGAAGGTACCGTTGCAGAGGCAACTGATTTTCTTCGCAACGTTTATGCGAAAAATATAGCTGTTGAATTCACACATTTAGAGGTTTTTTGAAAACACAAAAAGTTTCAAATTTTACTAACCATTTTTAGAATGAGGACGAAATTGAATGGTTTGCCAAACGAACAGAAGAAATTGTCCCCGAAAAAGTGGATACAGACACAAAATTACGTTTAGCAGTCGAACTAATTCGTTCGCAAAATTTTGACAACTTTTTAGGAAATAAATTTACAGGAGTGAAGAGATACGGTGGGGAAGGCGCTGAAAGCATGATGGCCTTTTTTAGCGAGTTTTTTCGACTGACAGCTGAAGGTACTTCTTTGGACGACTAACTATCAGCAGCATTAAATATTTGCTTAATTTTAGAAAATGTGGAGCAGCTTGTAATTGCAATGCCACATCGAGGACGATTAAATCTGCTCACAGGGATGCTTAACTTTCCGCCAGTGAGGATGTTTGCGAAACTAAAGGGACGAAATAATTTTCCAAAAAAGTATGACGTAACGGGAGATGTTCTTAGTCATTTTAGTAAGTTCAAACGCGATTCTTTTTGTTTAAATAAAACATTTATTTGTAGTTTCATCTACTGATCTTCAGTTTGGTAGCAAAGTTTTACACGTTTCGTTACTATACAATCCTTCACATTTGGAAGCTGTTAATCCTGTTTCCATGGGTAAAACGAGAGCTAAACAGCTAGAGAGTCAGGATGGAGACTACGGACACGAACAAGTGTGGAGCGATAAAATTCTGAATCTACAAGTAGAAATCATTATTATTTTTTGAGTTTATTCATTAGTTTTAAGAACATTTCAGGTTCATGGTGATGCAGCTATCATCGGACAAGGTGTTAACCAAGAGTGTTTGGCTCTCAGTGGAACACCACATTTTGAAATTGGGGGCAGCATACATTTGGTCGTTAATAATCAACTAGGATTTACAACACCTGCCGACAGGGGTAGGTCGTCAAGATATTGTACCGATCTGGCCAAAATGATTTCTGCGCCAGTGGTTCACGTCAATGGCGATTTTCCAGAAGTAGGTGTTACAGTCATCACTGGATACAACATTTTTTTGCGAAAATAAATGTTCTAGATGGTACTAAAAGCCACAAAATTGGCATTCGAATACCAACGAAAATTCAGAAAAGACGTGTTCATCGATATGAACTGTTATCGACAATGGGGACATAATGAATTAGATGATCCAACTTTTACTAATCCTTCTCTATATGGAATTATACGATCCAGGAGGTACCCATTTCTCATTGCAATTAAATCAACATAACCATCAAACATTTCAGAACAGTACCTGACCAATATTTCAAAACACTTGTCGACGAAGGAGTAATGACAGAAGAACAAAGAGATACAATAGTTCAAGAACACACTAAATGGCTCAATCAGCACCTCAAGGCTGTTGATAACTATATACCCGAAGTAGCTATCAAAATATAAGTAATATAATTGGGTAACTTGTTTTTCGTAGGATATTTACTTCAAGAAACAGTGGCAGGGCTTTATGCAAGCGGAAGAATCCGTAAGTACTTGGGATACAGGAATCCATCTCGATCTTCTTACCTACATTGGAAGTAAATCTGTCAAATATCCAGAAGATTTTGCAAGTATTATCCCCATTTGTTCACACAATAATAAATCAAAGCATGTTGTAGAATATTCATCCAACATTGTTGAAAACTCATGTCAAAAATCGACTAGCAAAAGTCGGTGAAGGTATTGGAATTGACTGGTCCACTGCCGAAACCCTTGCTCTTGGCTCGTTGCTATATGAAGGCTACAATGTGAGAATCAGTGGACAAGATGTAGGAAGGGGAACCTTCTCACATCGACACGTTATGCTAGTGGACCAAAAAACCAACCACATTTACATCCCTTTAAATAATCTTCACGACAAGCAACAATGCTTTTTAGAAATTGCTAACAGTATTCTTTCGGAAGAAGCTGTTTTGGGTTATGAATATGGGATGAGTATCGAGAGTCCAAAAAATTTGATAATATGGGAGGCTCAGTTTGGAGATTTTTTCAATGGGGCTCAAATTATGCTGGACACTTTTGTCTCAACTGGCGAAAGTAGATATAAATTATTTATATTAACCTGACCTAAACACACACATTTTTAGCTAAATGGCTCTGGACTAGTGGTCTTGTCATTCTTTTGCCACACGGTTACGATGGAGCAGGACCCGAACATAGTTCTGCACGAATTGAAAGATTTCTTCAAATGACTGACTCAAAAGAAGATAGTGTTGATGGAGATAACGTTAACATGCAAGTCTGTCAGCCGAGTACGCCTGCTCAATATTTCCATTTATTAAGGAGACAGGTAAAGACTAGAAATGTCGACAATAAAACCTACGTAACACATTTCTACGCCTTTTAGATGTTACGTAACTTCAGAAAACCTTTAATAATAATCGCTCCAAAAACCCTCTTAAGATTATCCAGTGCAACTTCTAACTTTGCAGACATGGCTCCTCAAACAGCATTCTTACCTGTCATAAGTATTACAACCCTACTTGTTTGATAATATCTGAACAATTATTTTTAGGTGACGATACATGTGATCCCGCCAAAGTTGAAACTGTTTTAGTGACTTCAGGAAAACATTATTACACTTTGGCTGAAAAAAGAGAGTCTTTAAATATAAAAACAACAGCTATCATTAGACTGGAATCGTATTCTCCTTTTCCTACTCTGCAGTTACAACAAGAAGTTGCAAAATTTCCAAACGCCAAAAGTAAGTCGATACTTGAAAAACAGGTGTTTTTAAAGTGACATTTAATTATATTTAAGCATATGTGTGGTGTCAAGAAGAACCACAAAACATGGGTGCATGGACTTTTGTAAAACCACGATTCGAAAACTTAGTTGGAAGAAAAGTAAACATTTTAAATACGACTGTAATGTAAATGTAAATGTAAAATTATTGATTTTCCAGATTCGCTTCTGCGGACGACCAACTCAAGCTGCACCAGCTGTTGGAATTGGTGCCTTACATGAGGAACAAATTAATTATATAATTAACAAACCCTTTACGGCTGAAAATGATTAATGCGAACAACTTTGATAAGCCAAATAAATTAAAAAAAGACGCAAGTTATAACAGTGTCTATTTTGTTCGAAACTTACACCACCATTGAAAATAACATTTTTTATAAATACAATATAGAGTGCCAAACCATAACATATATACCTTCAAAATATGAAAGAAAAGACACTCGCGAATTGACAGACATACACATATGAAAATCAAAAAAGTACTAAAAACCCTATGTTTATGTTTTGAATCAATGCAAATATTTGAATATCACAAATTTAATAGAAACAAAGCAAAATCTGAATTAAAGTAACTGAATGCAAATACACAAGTTATTACGGGCGTGTAGCGTCAAAGTTAGCAGGGGCGCAACAAAAGTACCCCTGGGGCGTTCTAGCACAAGCGGAGTTTGGGGCTACCGGTCGGGGCTGTTCTCCCCCCTCGACGGTGATTCTATCTATCGCAAAGCCTACCCAAACAGCACATTACACATCTCTAGGATGAACATGCCGTCCGAAACTAGGCCGTTACGGTCGCCAGACCCGCAGTTGGATCTCGGCCAAGGACAGAAGCCGAAAACATTACAACAGCGGAATCTATCCAAACTTTGACTGACTAAGTGAATTTCATGAAATCTTCTAGCAAGTGGTTTATTTAAATAATCCTGATTGTTAAATTGTGTTTACACTAGCTGACGATTAAGAAAAACTAACTTGATTGGTGAATTTACAAACAATAAAACAAATTTACAGCACGTGTTTCGCGTTGAACGGAAGTCCGCACTTTTTCCAATTAAAAGACCACTAGAATTAGCCGCGCGGTTTGGAGAAGCTGTGCGCCATCGGTTACGATCGATTGTCGTTAAACAAAGACTTCCTCCCTTTTATTAACTACCAAACCAGCTAATTTAAATCTAGCTACTTACAGCGTCTTTTCATCATGCATCCACTACACCGATGAGAAAGATAATGACTCACGCTTTTGACATGCCGCCTTCTGTCTACCAACCAACCCTCTAGATAAAATCCCCCTAGCGCTACGAACTGTCCAACTATCGTACAAGCGTTGCCGTGCACCTAGTTGCCTATGTTTCACGATTTATTATTTGAATTCTTTTTTTCTTTCTCAAATTCAAATTGTTCAAATGTGATTTCGCGCCGCTGTTAATTAATTTCAGCCCCAAAATTTTGATTCAAATTCGGTCACCACAATATGGCTGATTTTGGCAATGAGAGACCAATGAGATACCTTCTAAGAAAAGAGAGAGTCGGTGGACGGGGCTAGTATTTGCTGAGTTAACGCTGATTTTGGAAAATGACATTTTCTAAGAAATTTAATTAAATTATTATAAGAAAAGACACTAGAAATTCCCCAAAGTATTTTCAAATTATTTCCAAACAGGGATACCTAGAACCTCAAGATTGTTTTAAATTTTTCAAAAAAAAAAAACGGAATCCCAAAATTGATTCAAAAACAGGTCAGGTCAGAATTTTCCAAAAATAGAACACCAAAGTCCCCAAAAAATGTCTTAAATAATTTAGAAAAAAAAAAGTTTTATCTGAACAGGTACTATTGCTTTACTATAAAATACTCTCTAGGAAAAAGTTAAACTTAGCCCCGTCCACCCACCCTCCCTTTCTTTCATTTTTTTCTTCGGAAATAAGAAATAAATCTCATGACAAACAATACAACAAAAAAGTCACGATTTTACAACCTTATTTCTGTCAATTACCACTTCCATTCTACAGAAGAACATTTAATAAACCCCGCCCACCCACCCGCCTCTATGTCGGTGATTAATTTTATAAAAAAATATAGTACTACGAAAATTTATTGCAGCAGAAATAAGACGAAATATATTGTTTAAAAGAAAAAACTCACAGCTTAAATTAAGATAATTTAAAAGCTAATGACAAACTGGTCATTGCAGATAAATTTGGAATAAACCATGGAATTAACGAAGAAGTAATTAAAAATATACTTAAATTAATTATACTGTGATATCACTGTCATGATCCACGTGAAAATGTTAGGTTAGGTCTTGATCGACCGCCCCAAGCCGCTAATTTACAGTAAACTCGTTACCACTTTCAGTAGTGCTCCTCGGAGATTCAGGTAACCAAAACTGAATTTGTTTCCGTAGTGCAATAAGGCGGTTTTAGATAACCAAAATGTTAATTTTGAAGTACTCGGAATCTTTTCGAGTTTGGGGAAGATCTTTCATGGAGAAATGTTCATCGCTGTAAACTGTGCCCCTATTTTACCACATCACTTTTCCTTGGCAGCTCGACAAGGAACCGCGCACTCCGCGTCTGCCACGTGTTCCTGTATTTATTTACCTCAATTCCATTTAAATGTTCAATTTCTATAACTCTGATAGTAAACTATAACGGAACAAGAGTTAAAGTTTCAAAAAGAGCAATAAACCAATTTCAATTAGCCATACATTCTCGTGAAATTGGATTTTAAACAGCAAAGAATTCTCATCTGAGATTAAGATTGGACATCAGACAATTTATATGATGGAAACATTTATCAACAAAATATTTACATGAAAAAGAAAACTACCAAAGATTTATATGGAGAAAAACTGCATGAGGTGAAAGATTGCAAAGTTAACAAAATTACATGAGTTTAACATTTGCTCCACTGTATCAACGATTCAAACAAAGAATTTACATGACGTTAAATTATGCAACACTTTATCATCGATTCAAACAAATAATTTACATGATGCTAAATTATGCCACACTTTGTCCAAGTGATTGGTTACTTAAAACTATTAGCCTTGAGAGTATATCGTGGACTGTCCCCAGCTTATCCCAAACAAAACACATGATAAATAAACACAAAATGAATCTAGCCTCCCGCAGAGTGCTTCTCGATGGTGTAATTTTCAACGTTGCGAGAAAAATGTCTCGGTGATGTGATGATGATAACGATGATAACAGCCTAAGGGAAAACATTTTTAATTCCCCGTACCTCAGTCCACGTTATTATGAATTCTACCGCACTTTCACCTTTTCCCAGAGTGGGACGGTAGGTTAATTTAGCTGTCTTAAATGAACTATTAGCAATTTTGTGGGAGAAATTAAGAAGTGTTATAATGTAGCACTTAAGTATAAGCATCTAGAAACCTTATTAATAACTTTATACACAAAGATGCGTCTGATTAATTGAATTTCATAAAATCTCCTAGCAAGTGCTTTATCTAAACAATCTCAGCACCGTTAAATTGTGTTAGAACTAGTTAACGATTAAAATCCTAACATGAACTGTGAATTTATAAACAATAAATCAAATTTACACCACGTGTTAGCGTCGGTTAAAAATTCGCTTATTTCCGCTTGGAAAAACCGAAAACTGGGGCAGCGGCCTCGTTACGATTAATTATCGTTAAACAAAGGCTCTCCCTTTTTCTAAAATCCAAACTGACTAAACTTAACCTAGCTTCCTTGCGGCGTCTTTCACTCACACCAAATACGACTATAGCCCCTAGAAATATATAGTACCGTCACCCATTGTTGTACGAGTGGAGCAAATGCAGTTGGTAACGCAAAAAATTCCCCTGGTTTGGAACCAAATTGTGTCAGCAGGGAGTTGACAGCGCGTAAATCGTTGTTGTCACATGGCCTTGGCGTGGTCTTTTTGTTTAAAGTCAATTAATTGTCAATTAATATAACTAATAATTATTAAATAAGATTTTATTGATTAAATTTTATATTTTATTCAAATTAAAACTCCATATTTTGTATATAAACTACAAATTTTCAGTCCAATATAAAACCATTTTAAATTTCGCAGTCTATCAAACGGTGTTTATAATTTTTGTTTTTGTTAAGTTTACGCCAGGTTTGCTCCACGGTGACGACACTATGTGTTTTACGGGGTATAATATATACCTTAAAAATATGAAAGAAAAGACACTCGCGAATTGGCGGACATACACATATGAAAACCTTAGATCATATAATAAATAGATACCAATACTCAAACTGAAAACTGTGACTAGACATGAAGCTATCTGTTGTCGTTTTCTACGTCTAGGAGAGTAGCATAATGCTATCCTTGTGTGATCACCACATCTTCATCTTTGTTATATGCATTTCATCTGTATATGCCTATTTCACTTCCATCCGTGTACCGCACCAGCGCAACAAATCGCTTTTGACAGATGTTTCTTCTAACCTCTCTTTCGAGTTGTTGTACAAAAAACAATTTTAGAATTTAGAACAAAGATCCTATTTTAAGTGATGTAGTCATAAAGGATCACAATTGCTGCCCAATAATTTACTATTCCTTTCGTTATCTACTGTGAATTATTTATAAAATCAAGCTGTCAACATCTTTCTTCCGAAGTTAGTTCAGACATACTTCCTAAAATTTAGGCGCGCAAAATTCAAATAGTGATCAGGCAAGGATAGCTTCATTGTAATCCCTCCATGCACGAGAGAGATGTGTGACAGGAGGATGTCGTCACAGGCTGTCCTAGGGAAAGAACACGGCATGGTGGTATCTATTTATTACATGATCTAAGATGAAAACCAAACAAGTACTTAAAACCTTACGTTTATGTTTTGAATCAATGCAAATATTTGAATATCACAAATTTAATAGAAACAAAGCAAAATCTGAATTAAAGTAACTGCATGCAAATACACAAGTTATTACGGGCGTGTGGCGTCAAATTTTAAAGTTGCGGCAGTTAACAGGAGCGCAACAAAAGTACCCCTGGGACGTTCTAACACAAGCGGGGTTTGGGGCTACCGGTCGGGGCTGTTCTCCCTCCTCGACGGTGATTCTATATATCGCAAAGCCTACCCAAACAGCACATTACACGTCTCTAGGACGAACATGCCGTCCGAAACTAGGCCGTTACGGTCGCCAGACCCGTAGTTGGATTAAACCTAGCTACTTACAGCGTCTTTTTATCATGCATCTACTACACCGAACAGAAAGATAATAACTCACACTTTCGACATGCCGCCTTCTGTCTACCAACCAACCAAACCTCTAACTAAAATTCCCCTAGCGCTATCAACTGTCCAACTATCCTGCCAGCGTTACCGTGCACCTGGTTGCCGATATTTAACGATGTGTGATTTGAATTCCTTTTTTCTTTCTCAAATTCAAATTATTCAAATGTGATTTCGCACCGCTGTTAATTAACTTCAGCGCGAAAATTTTGATTCAAATTTGATAACCACAATATGGCTGATTTTGGCAAATGAGATACCTTCTAACAAAAGAGAGGGTGGGTGGGCGGGGCTAGTATCTGCTGAGTTAACGCTGATTTTGGAAAATGACATTCTCTACGAAAAGAGAGGGCGGGTGGGTATTTATAGTATCTGCTGAGATAATTTATTAATAAATTTTTCAAAAAAAAAAAAACGGAATCTCAAAATTGACTCAAAAACAGATCAGGTAAGAATTTTCCAAAAATAGAACACCAAAGTCCTCCAAAATTGTTTTAAATAATTTACAAAAAAAAATCAGTTTTATCGTAACAGGTACTATTGCTTGCCTATAAAATACTCTCTAGGAAAAAGTTGAACTTAGCCCCGCCCACCCACCCTTTCTCTCATTTTTTTCTTGGGAAATAAGAAATAAATCTTATGACAAACAATACAACAAATAAGTCACGATTTTACAACCTTATTTCTGCCAATTACCACTCCCACTCTACAGAAGAACATTTAATAAACCCCGCCCACCCACCCGCCTCTATGTCGGTGATTAATTTTATAAAAAAATATAGTACTACGAAAATTTATTGCAGCAGAAATAAGACGAAATTTATTGTTTAAAAGAAAAAACTCACAGCTTAAATTAAGAGAATTTAGAAGTTAATGACAAACTGGTAATTGCAGACAAATTTGGAATAAACCATGGAATTAACGAAGAAGTGATTAAAAATGTACTTAAATTAATTATACTGTGACAGCAGTGTCATGATCCACGTGAAAATGTTAGGTTAGGTCTTGACCGACCGCCCTAAGCCGCTAATTTATAGTAAACTCGTTGCCACTTTCAATAGTGCTCCTTGGAGATTCAAGTAACCAAAACTGAATTTGCTTCCGTAATGTAATAAGGCGGTTTCAGGTATCCAAAATGTCTTGTGAAGTACTCGGAATCTTTTCGAGCTTGGGGAAGATCTTCATGGAGAAATGTTCAGCTCGACAAGGAACCGCGCACTCCGCGTCCGCCACGTGTTTTTGTGTTATTTACCTCAATTTCATTCAAATGTTCAATTTCGATGACTCTGATTTTAAACTACAACTGAACAAGCGTTAAAGTTTCAAAAAGAGCAATAAACAAACGATTCAAACAAAAAATTTACATGAAGTTAAATTATGTTACACTTTATCATCGATTCAAACAAATAATTTACATGATGCTAAATTATGCCACACTTTTTCCAAGTGATTGGTTACTTAAAACTATTAGCTTTGAGTTTATATCGTGGACTGTTCCCAGCTTACCCCAAACAAAACACATGATAAATAAACACAGAATGAATCTAGCGTCGCGAAAAATGCTTCTCGGTGGTGTAATTTTCAACGCTGCGAGAAAAATGTCTCGGTGACGTGATGATGATAACTGCTGGGGAAAAATTTTTAATCCTTCGTACCCCAGTCCACGATATTATGAATTCTATCGCACTTTCACGCCCCTTTTCCCAGAGTGGGACGTTACGTTGATTTTAACTGTCGTAAATGAACTATTAGCAATCTTGTGGGACGAATTAACAAATGTTACAATGTAACACTTAAGTATATGCACCCACAAAACTTATTTATAACTTGATAAACAAAGGATGAGTCCTGACTAATTGAATTTAATAAAATCCAGCAAGTGCTTTATCTAAACAATCTCAGGACCGTTAAATTGTGTTAGAACTAGTTAACGATTAAAATCCTAACATGAACTGTGAATTCACGCTTGTTGGGGAAACTGTGGCCGTCGTTACGATTAACGTTTCTTGATTGATTTTTTTCAAATTCATATTACTCAAATGCGATTTCGCGCCGCTGTTTTTTCAACTTCAGCCCGAAATTTTAATTTAAATTCAGTCGCCACAATGTTAAGTTTTGCATCGGATGTCCAATTTCTCGGAGGGGCTGGAACAGCCGTTTATGATCCCAGTCGAAAGCGCCGGATCATCCCATCGTTGAAGATGTAAAGTAACCTCACTTGACAAATACCTTGTAAAATTTTTATGACTTAAGGCACCATTATAAGTCAAACTGGTTAGTGTAAGCTTTGTGGACTCGCATCGCAAGGATTATTACTGTCCATTGTTGGCACAATGGAGCTGTGAACTGAGTTAAGTAATACAATAGCCAGTTTGACTTATAAAGGTCCTTTGGCTTAACCCGCTTAAGTCATAAAAGTTTTACAAGGTGTATGTCAAATGAGGTTACGGTAAATACGTAAGTTCGCCTAGCGATGATAAAAATATAATTCGATAATTAGCCATATATTTTTATATAATGTACACAGTACAATACAGTGCTAGCTATCTACGAAAAGACCTCTTGTCAGTTGATCTATAAGCCTGACACTTAAGTAATACTTATCTAACTTAAATTTTAGAATTAGTATAATTATAGAAAAGGACAGTATGTTACAACATGATATACACAGACATCAGTCATATCAAAACATAAATGTAAGTAGGGTCGTATTTTGAACTGTTTACAATTTGAGTAGTCACAAATTTACATCTTCTAATTGTGAGCCTCCCATGATTTTTACAATAAATCAAAACCCTATTCCTCATACAACAATAAAAATTACTTGGAAAAGAGTTACTCTTAAAATAACTATGGAATTCGTATATATATCAGCTACTTTCTTACATAACAATGTTTTGCCATTTACAAATCACAATACCATTATAAAAGTCATCGTTGCACCATCCAGTGTCTTCACCCAGCTGTGGCAAGAATTAATTTTAAATTAATTTTTTCACTAAACCATCTATGTATACATCAGTCAACGTAAGAAAATGGTATAAAAAGAATTACACTATGACTTACATTATTAATTATCTATGGGTATTTCAGCTAGCTACTTGATAAATGTGTAAATGTGAATATGGCACCAGTTTTTAAACTGCACTTTATTTATTGTACCTATACAATATATAACAGTACAGGCGTCCCAGATCAAAATGTTGGGTTTCTTGTGTTGGTCAGCCTGTTTATGTAATTGTGAAATCATATATTGAAAGCTCTTGGTTAAATTATTGATTGCGTTTCATTTTTTTTTTTGTATATATATATATACAACGTACATACACATAACTTACACATTCCTATCAAACAACCAGTTTGTTTTCAAGTTTCCTAAGACCAAATTACTTTTTTTAAATACTGATATTTTACATTATTTGTCATACATGCAATAACGTTTTTGTTCTTTTGTATAAACACAACAAAACTCTTGTCAGACTTTCACACACAACACTCTGAATCTCAACTGTAATCAATCGCACAACCTTTTATATACATCAGATATATTTAAAGCTATGTTCTCTAATACAATAAAAGTACAAAACAATATAGCCACTCATAAACTTTCGTTAGAAAATATTTCTTCATATCGCCAACTCAAAGAAACAACGGGATCTTGGGCACTTGCAAATGTTAAGAACACATCGTTTTCTGAATGGCTACAGCTTCCTGTACGAAAATTTAAACTAAATAAAATAAATAATTGAAATAATAATAACAGTAATTAACTTAAATATAAACTTAAACAGCAATATTTTCAATTCTAACAAGTAAACCTGTACAAATCTTACTTACTGGATTTATAGTATGTATATAACACTTTTAACTGTAAGAAATTATTATTGTACACTGACCAAAAGGCAAAATAAATAATAGTAAATGAAGTATTGCTATAAATTATGGTGTATCATCCTTCTTTTGTTTAATATTTGAGACACCTTTGAGATTCGAGAGAAAAATGGTTCTTCAAATTAATACAACCATTTTCCATAAATATCGTAACACAACAACAGAACTTAACATATTTTTAAATAAATATAAAGAAAACGAATGTAAAAGTTTCACTAAACATTGTGATGAAGATACCCTTTGGTGGAGATACATTCCTTTTTTAAAGTAACATAAATTCGCAAAATGATGACGACGAAATGAACATATTTTGAGAGAAAGAAATAACAAAAGAAAGATCAAATCATTGGTCATTTGGAAGCGCCTGTGTTGATTGTCTAACTCTAAAGTGGTGTAAACTGATCAGTCGTGCTGTAATATTGCTAAGCTTTGTAAAACACCAAACACGGATTTGTGCAAAAACAACACTAAGTATCTTCTGTCACGTGTTCTTCACGATAAATCAATATAAATACAGGTATCGACACAGTTATGAACACTTTTATTTTTTCCTTCTGTCATGGAGATTAGGAATAAATTAATAGTACGGCGAAAAGAGAATTATAGATGTGATATCCTTTAGTTGACCATCAATGTGTGAGATTCCATTGGCGCGGCCGAGTCATACAGTGTGTCCGTATCCTGAGTTGGCTCTCCTTGCAGTTGGCATTGATTCGTCAACGTGCCAGCTCCGCAATCGCAAAAGAATCTGTTGATGAAAAATGGGTTTGAGACAAAGATAAAAAAAAATACACAACTTAGCCAAAGTAATACTCTTACTTATCACTTCTTAGAGGTATGAACTCGCTTATCGTTCAATCGATTGCAGGACGCTAACTACCCTCATTAATATATTACATTGGTATGGTAATTTTGAGTTTAAAGCTCCTCTTTACCGATGTTAAAAGATGGCAAAATAAGGCAAAACGCCTTTTCCCATTTCAACCTTACGATACGAAAGTACTATGAAACATATCCATCGTTTTTAATAAAATTTGCAAAATTAAATTTTAAAATTTTTTGAATACTCTGTATTTGCCCGACTGTACTTCACGGGCGCGGAAAGTTGTACGTAAGTAAACTTAGATTTGTGAGTTTATCGTTTTTCCGATTTTTTACTTTCGATATTTTTTCAACATTTCGGTATTTCAATTTTTTAATTTTACAATTTGTCGATTTTTCTATTTCTGGAAAATTTTGTTTTCCGTATTTTTCTTTTTCTCGATTTTTATTAATCAGTTTTTCGATTTTACAGTTTCTATTTTTTTTCTAGTTTTAAGATTACAATTTTTAAATTTCTCGCTGTTTCAAATTTCGTTTTTCCTATTTTTGATTTTCAATTTTGCAATTGTTCGATTTTTCTGTTTTTTAAATTTTCAGTTTTTTCATTTTTAAGGTTACAGTTTTTCCTTTCCAATTGTTGACCTCTTAATTATTCGATTTTGAGTTTCTTTATTTTTGCAGTTCCTCGATTTTTCACTTTTCCGATTTTTTTAAATTTCACTTTTAATAGTTTGTCCTTTTGTTGAAAAATTAAAAAACGAAAGATTGAGAAAATGAAAAATGAAAAATAAAAAAAAAATTTTAATCGTTAATTTTTCGATTTTCGTTATGATTTTTATTTTTTAGTAAAATATTTGTATGGTTCGATTTTTTAATTTGCAGATATTTTAATTTTGCGATTTTCCAAGTTGCTTTTTAATTTTTCGATTTTCCATCTTTTTACAATTTCCCGTTTTTTCGTTTTCAATTTCTCAATTTTTAATTTATCACTTTTTCAGATTTCACTGATACAAATTTACGATTTTATGTTTTTATTTTTTTTTTCAAATTTACTTGTAATTGTTTCATTTTTAAATTTCCCGATTTTTAATTTTTCACTTTTTTCAAATAATTATTATGATTTTTTTTTCAAGTGTATAATTCTTGGCTTTTCAATTACCCGATTTTTCGGTTTCTGTATTTTTTCAAATCTTTGATTTCTCGGTTTTTAAATTTTTCGGTTTTTCAGTATTTCGTCTTTTCGATGTTACAATTTTTCAATTTTTCCATGTTTCTTTTTTCAATTGCTTAATTTTTTAGTGTTCCGCTTTTCATTTTAAAATTTTTGGATTTTGAAATACATTTTTTTTTTTTGTATTTTTGATTGTTTCATTTATAGAAGTTTTTGTTTTTCGTTTTTTCAATTTTTCACTTTCTCGATTTTTAATTAATTAGGGTTTTCAGGTTTCAATATTACAATTTTTCGATTTTTCAATTATTTTAACCTTTTAATTACTCCATTTTGAGTTTCTTTATTTTTTCAATACTTCGATATGACAATTTTTAAATTGTTGGGTTTTTCAGTGTTTCTTTTTCAATTTTTCAGTTTTTAATTTTTTGATTTTTTAAAATTTCAGTTTTAATAAATTTGTCCTTTTGTTGAAAAATTAAAAAACGAAAAATTGACAAAATAAAAAATTAAAAATAAAGTACTTCCAAGTAGGTAATTCCAAATTATTTTGTTTATTCGATTTTTTGGTTTCTCAATTCAAGATTTTTATATTTTTCGTTTTTTTTTTAATTGATAATTTTTCGATTTTTTTTTTCTGTAGATACTTTGAATTTTTCGATTTTCTAATTTGCTTTTTACTTTTTCAATTTTATATCTGTTGAATTTTACAATTTTTCGGTTTTTTTTCGATTTTCAATTCCTAGATTTTTAATTTATCAATTTTTCAGGTTTCAATGTTACAAATTTTCGATTTTACCGTTTCCATCTTTTTCTCAGTTGAAAAATCGAGAAAATGAAAAATTAAAAATCGAGGATTTGAAAAATTTTATATCGATTATATCGATTTTTCAATTTCTCGATTTTTTAATTATCCAACTCAATTTCTCAATTTTTTCATTTTTCGATTTTTCAATTTCTCGCTTTTTAATTAATCAGGGTTTTCAGGTTTCTATATTACAATTTTTCGATTTTTCAATTGTTTTTTCAATTATCCACTTGTTTAATTTCTCATTTTTTCATTTTCAATTTTTGATTCTTAATTTTTCGGTTTTTTAAATTTTTCTTTATTTTTTCAATTCTTCGACTTCTCAATTTTTTAATTTTTTGATTTTTCAAATTTATAATTTTTTGTACGTTTCAATGTTACAATTTTCAGATTTTTAAATTTTTCAAAATTTCGGTTTGAATAAATTTGTCCTTTTGTCGAACAATTAAAAAATGAAAAATCGAGAAAATAAAGAATTAAAAATTGAGAATTTGAAAAATTTTAAATCCAAAAACTGCAAAACTGTTTCTTTTTGTTGATTTTTTCAATTTCTCGATTTTTAATCATTTTCTTTTTTGATGTTTCAGTGCTACAATTTTTAGGTTTTTCAAAAGTTCAGTTTGAATAAATTTGTCCTTTTGTTGAACAATTAAAAAATGGAAAATCGAGAATTTGAAAAATATAATATCGAAAAATTGCAAAATTGTTACGTTTTGTCGTTTTTCATTTTCTTGATTTTTCGGTTTTTCAATTTTTCTATTTTACGATTTTCGATTTCCCCATTTTTAAATGTTTCAGTTTTTCGAATTTCCGTTCTCTCGATATCTCGGGTTTTTCCGTTTTAAAAATTATTCAGCTTTTCAAATTTTCACTTTTCGATTTCTCGATTTTTCAGCATTTCAATTTTGGGAATTTTTAAATTGCTGGATATTCGATTTTTTAAATTCTAGATTTTTCGGTTTTCTGATTAGTCGATTTATCGACACTCTCCTCATAGATTATCAAAAATTATATATTACATATTAATATGTAATTTCAGAATTTTTCAATCATTGGATTTTAAAACTTTTTCATATATTCGATTTTTCAATTTTTCGATTTTTAATTTTTGAATTTCTCGATATTTTAATGTTAGTTTTTCGACTATACAATCTTCGCGATTCTCTAATTTTTCGAGTTTTCCAGTTTTTCGATTCATTAATTTTTTCGATTTTTAGTTTTTCAGTGTTTCAATTTTTCGTTTGTTCAGTTCTTAGATTTGCAATTTTTATTTTCAAGTTTAAATTTTTCAGTTTTTCAATTTTCAACATGGTATTCTTTCAATGCTCAAAAACATGTTTTTTCTTTCTTGTAGAGAAATAAGAATTTTGCAATTAAGCTCCGCTCCTTTGGCTGGCGATGAATAAAAAAATCATCACAATTGAGAGGGCGGGCGGGCGGGGCTTATACTTTGCCTTTTTTTTTTTTAATATACACAGCCATCTTTTCACAACAAGAAACTTAGAACATGGTTAAAATTGTACATTTTTGCAAAGAAATATGAATTTTGCAATTATGGGGCGGAGCCTATTGCAAAAACCGATATTTTCTTATGTCATATATTCCATTTTAAACATGTTTTAAGTTTCATGTTGTGAAAAAAGTCTACATATATTTAAACAAAAATGCAAAATGCAAGCCCGCCCACCCACCCTATCTCAATTGTGATGTTTTTCTTTCTCCGTGAACCAAGGGGAGGGAGCTTAACTGCAAAATACTTATTTCTTTACAAGATGTTAAAAACATGTATTTTGAGTATCGTGTTGTTCAAAGAATACTGCGTATATTAAGAAATAAAGTCGCAATATAAAAAAAATTTCGATACCTCGATTTTTCAAGATTTCAATTTTGGGAATTTGTAAATTGCTGGATTTTCAGTTCTTCGATTTTACCACTTTCCAATTTTTCGAATTTTTTAATTTTACGTTTTTCACTTTTTTGTTTTTTTGTTGTCTTTATTTCTCGATTTTTGGACTTTTCAGTTTTCAATTTTTCGATTTTTAAAATTTTTGATTTTTCGATTGTTCAATTTTTCGTGTGGGCTATTTTAATTTCTCGACTTCTCAATCTTTTCATGGTTTCTCTATTTTTCGGCTTTTCCATTTTTGGACTTTAGGATTTTCCAATTTTTCGATTTTTCATTTTTTTGATTTTTCGGTTTTTCAATTTTTCTATTTTACGAGTTTTCGATTTTCCCATTTTTTAAATATTTAAATGTTTCAGTTTTTCGAATTTCCGATCTCTCGGTATCTCGGTTTTCCCATTTTTAAAATTATTCAGCTTTTTGATTTTTGGATTTTTCAGTTTTCGATTTCTCGATTTTTCAGCACTTCAATTTTGGGAATTTTTAAATTGCTGGCCATTTCAATTTTTCGATTTTTTAAATTCTAGATTTTTCGATTTTCTGATTGCTCGATTTATCGACACTCCGCTCGTAGGTTATCAAAATTAAATACGTATTAAAAATCCCATATTAATATGTAATTTCCAAATTTTTCAGTCATTGGACTTGTAAAACTTTTTCATATATTCGATATTTACTTTTTGAATTTCTCGATATTTTAATGTTACAGTTTTTCGACTACACAATTTTTGCGTTTCTTTAATTTTGCGATTTTACAATTTTTTCGATATTTAGTTTTTCAGTGTTTCAATTTTTTGCTTCTTCAGTTCTTAGATTTGCGATTTTTATTTTCAAGTTTAAGTTTTTCAGTTTTTCAATTTTCAACATGGTATTCTTCGAACAACACGATGTTCAAACACATGTTTTTTATTTCTTGTAGAGAAATGAGGATTTTGCAATTAAGCTCCGCCCCTTTGGTTGGCGACGAATAAAAGAATCATCACAATTGAGATAGGGCGGGCGGGCGGGGCTTATATTTTGCCGTTTTTTTCTTAATATACATAGCCATCTTTTTACAACAAGGTTAAAATGGTACATTTTTTTCAAGAAGATATGGATTTTGTAATGATGGTGTGGAGCCTAATTGCAAAATCGATATTTCCTTATACATATTTTCCATTTTAATCCTGTTTAAGTTTCATGTTGTGAAAAAAGTCTACATATATTTAAACAAAAAGGCAAAGTGTAAGCCCACCCACCCGCCCTATCTCAATTGTGATGATTTTTTTTATTCGCCGTGAACCAAGGGGGCAGAGCTTAACTGCAAAATGTTTATTTCTTTACGAGAAATTAAAAACATGTTTTTAAGTTGCGTATTATTCAAAGAATACTATGTATGAAAATTAAGAAATAAAGCCACAATAAAAAAAAACAATTTTGGGAATTTTTAAATTACTGTATACTGCAAATTTTCGATTATTTAAATTCCAGATATTTGGACTTTTCAATTATTCGATTTTTAAAATGTTTGATTTTCGATTCTTCAGTTTTTCGATATTTTAATTTTTCCATATATATTTTAGATTTTAACATTTTCGATGTCTCAATGTTTCAGTTCCTCAATTTTACCACTTTTCAATTTTTCCAATTTTTTAATTTTACGTTTTTCAGTTTTTTGTAGTTACTATTTCTCGATTTTTGGACTTCACGGTTTTAGATTTTTCAGTTTTCAATTTTTCGATTTTTAGATTTTCGATGTTTCGGTTTTTCGATTTTTAGATTTTATAATTTTCCAATTTTTCGATGATGGTTAGGTTTCTCGATTTTTCGACTTCTCCATTTTTGGATGTTAGGATTTTCCGAATGTTTCTTCAATTTTCGATTTTTCAGTTTTGATTTTTTAAATGTTGGATTTTTCATTTTTTGATTTTTCGGTTTTTCAATTTTTCTATTTTACGATTTTCCCATTTTTAAATTTTTTAAATGTTTCAGTTTTTCGAATTTCCGATCTCTGGACATATCGGTTTTCTATTTTTAAAATTATTCAGTTTTTTGATTTTTCGATTTTTCAGCATTTCAACTTTGGGAATTTTTAAATTGGTGGATATTTCAATTTTTCGATTTTTTAAATTTTACATTTTTCGATTTTCTGATTGCTCGATTTATCGACACTCCGCTCGTAGGTTATCAAAAATTAAATACATATTACAAATTCCATATTAATACGTAATTTCAGAATTTTTCAATTATTGGATTTTAAAAGTTTTAAAACTTTTTCGATTTTTCAATTTTTCGATTTTCAATTTTTTAATTTCTCGATATTTTAATGTTACAGTTTTTCGACTATACAATTTTCGCGATTCTCTAATTTCCCGATTTTCCAATTCATTAATTTTTTTGGATTTTTAGTTTTCAGTGTTTCAATTGTTCGTTTCTTCAGTTCTTAGATTTGAAATTTTTGTTTCAAGTTTAAGTTTTTCAATTTTCAACATGGTATTCTTTGAACATGATGCTCAAAAACCTGTTTTTTATTTCTTGTAAAGAAATAAGGATTTTGCAATTAAGCTCCACCCCTTTGGCTAACGACGAATAAAAAAAATCATCACAATAATGAGAGGGCGGGCGGGCGGGGCTTATATTTTGCGTTTTTTTTCTTAATATATATATATATATAGCCAACTTTTTACAACAAGAAACTTAGAACATGGTAAAAATGATATATTTTTGCAAAGAAATACGGATTTTGCAATTATGGGGGTGGAGCCTAATTGTAAAATCCAAATTTCCTTATACATATTTTCCATTTTAAACATGTTTTAAGTTTCATGTTATGAAAAGTTTACACATATTTAAACAAAAAGGCACAATGTAGGCCCGCCCACCCGCCCTATCACAATTGTGATGATTTTTTTTTATTCGCCATGAACCAAGAGGGCAGAGCTTAACTGCAAAATGTTTATTTCTTTACAAGAAATTAAAAACATGTTTTTGAGTAGCGTGTTATTCAAAGAATACTAAGTATATTAAGAAAAGGCAAAATATAAACCCCGCCCACCCACCCCATCTTATTCTTGACATTGTGTAAAAATTTTGCGACGTTGGTGGTTTTTTAATAAAAAAATAGGCTTTATTAATGACGGAAGCAAATTTCTGTGTTGCTAATTGTGAATTATTGGCAGCAACGTTAACATGTCAGTTCACAATCGTCAACTTTGACAGGAGTGCGCCTAATGCGGCTTACAAACGTGATGAGAAGATGACTTGTGTCTTAGATTTCATTTTGACAACGATCAGGTATGCCATCATGAAATTTTAACCATGTTGCCAATCTGACAAAAAAAATCATTAACAGTCACCTGGTATTATTGACAACTTTTAGCTTTTCTCTTTCTCAACCAGCCAGCTTTTTTGTCTAAGACAGTAGTTATGCAGAGAAAGAAAGTAACAATGTATCAAATCCTAATAATAATAGTTATAATAAAAAAGTAGCGCTCACCTGTCGTGCCTTATGAACTCGACGTCGTGTCCGGCGTGACACGTTTTGATACAATTAACGCAAATAGCATTCCGATCCGTCGTGTTGCACGTTTGACACCTATAGAAATCGTGCATCGGAAACGACGTATAACTGGATATCTTGTACAAACATTGTCCATTTGCCACAGCCTTCTCTACAGCATCTTGATTATTGAAAATTTTATTTCCACGAACAATCGGTTGCACACCACTCGCCAAACACAAGCCACCAAACCGATTATTGAAGATTTGATTCGATTCGAGCGTCGCGGTCGCATTATTCGTGATTTCGACCCCGGCAGCGAGACCGTCGAAGATTCGATTACGCCTCAGTATAGGATGACTCTGGGTGGAGATCAACACGCCAGCCTGAGCGTTCCTGAATATGTCGTTCTCCTCCAGTATCCCCTTGCCGCCGTTGAAGATGCAGATGCCGCCGTCGCGTCCGTCGAATATTTTGTTGCGCTTAAGCGTCGGATTCGAGTCCGTCTTGATCCACACGCCGGCCATCGCGTTGTCGAAGATCTCGTTCTGCTCGAGCAGTCCCAGCCCCCCGTTGTACACCAGCACGCCGCCGTTCTGCCCGCCCCAGATCTTGTTACCGCGGATCACCGGGTTGCTGCCGGTCCGGATCTGCACGCCCGAGTACAAGTGGTTGAAGATGTCGTTGTCCTCGAGCTTCCCGTGGCCGTTGTCGTAGAAATAAACTCCCACCTGCTTGCCGGAGTGGATGCGGTTGCGTCGCAGCACCGGCGAGCTGCCGGTGGTTATCCACACACCGGCCAGCGTGTTCGCGTACACCTCGTTCTCCTCGATCAGGCCCTGGCCCTTCTCGTGGACGTAGATGCCGCCGTGCTGGCCGTGGTGGATCTTGTTGTGGCGCACGATGGGGTCACTATTAGTCCGTATTTGTATGCCGGCGAGCGCGTTACCGTAGATGTTGTTGTGCTCGATCAAGCCGCGACCTTCGCCGAAAATGTACACGCCGCCTTGGTGGCCGTTGTAGATTTCGTTACGTCGGATCGTGGGGTTACTGTTGGAGGTTATCCAGACGCCGGCGAAGTTGTTCGAGTGGATCTTGTTGTCGATGAATTGACCGAGACCGTTCTCGTGGACGTAGATGCCGCCAGTTTGGCCGTGGTGGATCTCGCACTGGACCACGGTGGGGTTAGCGCCGGCTTTAACTTCGAAACCGGCGATGCGGTTGTTGTGGATGTCGTTGGCTTCGAAATATCCCTGGAAATTAAATTCCTGTCTTTATACGATACACACACTTAGTACTCTATTTTTTGATCCACTAAAATTTCATCACGTGATTATTTGTGACGATTGTAGAATGGTCGGAAATATAGATATGCAGAATTGTAGAATAATTGCGCTATTTAGTACAATAGAGTATTCGACTTGTCAAGAAGTTAGTGGATGTATGATTTTTACTTACATAAACAAATGTTGATACATAACACATACATAAAAATAAAGCGAAATAATTACATATATATAATGACAAAATTTTGTGTTTATGTTTATACATCGGAAGGATGTCACGTAGAAATTAGTTTGATTTGAATGAGTTGGCCCCTCAAACAGAGGATCAAAACTACATATTAAGTAGTAAGCTACAATCGACAAAATGTTCTGAATCCTATTATTATAATTCTTATTAAATAAAAACATTTGTATTTTCACCTTTTAAGGAAAATGGGGTGAGTCGTTCTTAATTTGATCAATAAAAAATATGAATGCAATGACGAATCACAAGTAATAACCCATCATATTTTGCACATTCTGGGTAGAATTTATTCGGGAATACTATATAAGTATATTGAAAAAAAAAAAAGTCAAAATATAATTTTTTTTTTCGATATCTCGATTTTTCAACATTTCAATCTTGGGAAGTTTTAAATAGCTGTATTTTTCAAATTTCCGATTTTCCAATTTCGATTCTTCAGTTTTTCGATATATATTTTAGATTTTAACCTTTTCGATGTCTCTATTTTTCAGTTCTTCAATTTTACCACTTCTCAATTTTTCGAATTTTTTAATTTTACGATTTTTAAAATTTTTGATTTTTCGAATTTTCAATTTTCCGATATATCGAGATTTCGACGTTTCGAATTTTCGATTGTTGAATTAATAGATTTTTCGATGTTTCGGTTTTTCGATTTGAGAATTTTCCAATTTTTCGATGTTCTTCAATTTTTGATGACTGGGTTTCTCGATTTTTCGGCTTCTCCATTTTTGGATGTTGGGATTTTCCAATTTTTCGAATGTTTCTTCAATTTTTCGATTTTTCTGTTTCGATTTTTTAAACGTTAGATTTTTCGATTTTCATTTTTTGATTTTTCAGTTTTTAATTTTCTATTTTACGATTTTCCCATTTTAAAATTTTTAAATGTTTCAGTTTTTCGAATTTCGGATTTGTCGACATCTCGGTTTTTCCATTTTAAAAATTATTCAGCTTTTTGATTTTTCGATTTTTCAGCATTTCCATTTTGGGAATTTTTAAATTGCTGGATATTTCAATTTTTCGACACTCCGTTCAAAAATTAAATACATATTACAAATTCCATATTAATATGTAATTTCAGAATTTTTCAATCATTGGATTTTAAAACTTTTTCATATATTCGATTTTTCAATTTTTCGATTTTCAATTTTTTAATTTCTCGATATTTTAATGTTACAGTTTTTCGACTATACAATTTTCGCGATCCTACAATTTTTCGATTTTACAATTTTTGGGTTTTCCAGTTTTTTGATTCATTGATTTTTTTAAATTTTTAGTTTTTCAGTGTTTCAATTTTTCGTTTCTTCGGTTCTTAGATTGGCAATTTTTATTTTCAAGTTTCAAGTTTTTCAGTTTTTCAATATATATTTTAGATATTAACCTTTTCGATTTCTCCATTTTTCAGTTCTTCAATTTTACCACTTCTCATTTTTTCGAATTTTTTAATTTTACGTTTTTCAATAAGTAAAGAACTGGTAGAAGATTACTTTATCGCCCATAAAGTATAGCTTGTCAAATCCAACTCTCTCGAAAAATTAAAAGATTTGATTTTGACAATTTTATTGTTTTTTTTTTGTTACAAGTGAGTTTTTCTATTACAAAATTTTGTGTTTGTTTATACATCGGAAGAATGTCACGTAGAAATTAGTTTGATTTGAATGAGTTGGCCCCTCAAACAGAGAGGATCAAAACTACATATTAAGTAGTAAGCTACAATCGACAAAATGTTCTGAATACCATTATTATAATTCTTATTAAATAAAAACATTTGTATTTTCACCTTTTAAGGAAAATGGGGTGACTCGTTCTTAATTTGATCAATAAAAAATATGAATGCAATGACAAATCACAACTAAAAACCCATCATATTTTGCACATTCTGGGTAGAATTTATTCGGGAATACTATATATGTATATTGAGAAAAAAAAGTCAAAATATAAATTTTTTTTCGATATCTCGATTTTTCAACATTTCAATCTTGGGAAGTTTTAAATAGCTGTATTTTTCAAATGTTCGATTTTCCAATTTCGATTCTTCAGTTTTTCGATATTTTAATTTTTCGATATAGATTTTAGATTTTTACCTTTTCGATGTCTCTATTTTTCAGTTCTTCAATTTTACCACTTCTCAGTTTTTCGAATTTTTTAATTTTACGATTTTTAAAATTTTTGATTTTTCGAATTTTCAATTTTCCGATATATCGAGATTTCGACGTTTCGAATTTTCGATTGTTGAATTAATAGATTTTCGATGTTCTTCAATTTTGATGACTAGGTTTCTCGATTTTTCGGCTTCTCCATTTTTGGATGTTGGGATTTTCCAATTTTTCGAATGTTTCTTCAATTTTTCGATTTTTCTGTTTCGATTTTTTAAACGTTAGATTTTTCGATTTTCATTTTTTGATTTTTCAATTTTTCAATTTTTCTATTTTACGATTTTCCCATTTTAAAATTTTTAAATGTTTCGGATTTGTCGACATCTCGGTTTTTCCATTTTAAAAATTATTCAGCTTTTTGATTTTTCGATTTTTCAGCATTTCCATTTTGGGAATTTTTAAATTGCTGGATATTTCAATTTTTCGAGACTCCGTTCAAAAATTAAATACATATTACAAATTCCATATTAATATGTAATTTCAGAATTTTTCAATCATTGGATTTTAAAACTTTTTCATATATTCGATTTTTCAATTTTTCGACTTTCAATTTTTTAATTTCTCGATATTTTAATGTTACAGTTTTTCGACTATACAATTTTCGCGATCCTATAATTTTTCGATTTTACAACTTTTGGGTTTTCCAGTTTTTTGATTCATTGATTTTTTAAAATTTTTAGTTTTTCAGTGTTTCAATTTTTCGTTTCTTCAGTTCTTAGATTGGCAATTTTTATTTTCAAGTTTCAAGTTTTTCAGTTTTTCAATATATATTTTAGATATTAACCTTTTCGATTTCTCCATTTTTCAGTTCTTCAATTTTACCACTTCTCAATTTTTCGAATTTTTTAATTTTACGTTTTTCAATAAGTAAAGAACTGGTAGAAGATTACTTTATCGCCCATAAAGTATAGCTTGTCAAATCCAGCTCTCACGGAAAATTAAAAGATTTGATTTTGACAATTTTATTGTTTTTTTTTTTTTTGTTACAAGTGAGTTTTTCTATTACAAAATTTTGTGTTTGTTTATACATCGGAAGAATGTCACGTAGAAATTAGTTTGATTTGAATGAGTTGGCCCCTCAAACAGAGAGGATCAAAACTACATATTAAGTAGTAAGCTACAATCGACAAAATGTTCTGAATACCATTATTATAATTCTTATTAAATAAAAACATTTGTATTTTCACCTTTTAAGGAAAATGGGGTGACTCGTTCTTAATTTGATCAATAAAAAATATAAATGCAATGACGAATCACAAGTAAAAACCCATCATATTTTGCACATTCTGGGTAGAATTTATTCTACCTACTACTACTACTATTATTTTATTTTCATTAACAATTTACCATGTTTGCAATGACTTTAAAATGTCTGCAAGATTTCAAAGCTTTCGGTTTTGCAATTCTTGATTTTTTCAATAAAATAAACTGACTGATTTATTAATTTTTTGATCTAAAAAATATGAATGCAATGATAATCTACAAATATAGACTAATCATATTTGCACATAGATTGAGAAACCCACAAGGTTCAGTCTAACACAACTTTTTATTTTCTTTATAATGTTTTAAAAATATATAAAATAAACTGTTTGTGTTCAATTATAACAGCAAAAAAAATTGGTGGAAAGTTGTTTCGACAGAACTCCCACCTAAAATACAATGAAACATATTCAGCATTTTCGAGTTAAATTTTTAGTTTAGGTATACAATTTTGTGATGAAATCATCAAAATTTTGCAAGGACACGTAAATCAATGTGGATTAGACTAAAAATAACAGTATTCTCAAAATTTCTGGGAAAATACAGTGAGTCCTTCCTGATTTAATCAATAGAATTAATTGACTCATTCATTAATTTTTTTGAGCCACCTAGGTATATAAGAAAATCTAAAAAATATGAATGCAATGATAAATCACAAGTAAAAACTCATATTTTGCACATTGTTAGTAGAATTTATTCGGCAAAATTTTGAGATGACGTTATCAATTTTTTAGTAGCATAATCCTGAACTTGTGGTTTATAAATACATTATCGAGATTTTTCGGCTTTTCGGTTTTTCGATTTTTCAACTTTTGATGTTTCAATTTTTCAGTATTTTAATTTTTGGCATTTTCAATTTTTCCATTCTTCAAATTTTCGATTTCTCCATTTTTTTATTTTTCGATTTCTCAATTGTCCGGTGTTTCAGTGATAGAATTTCGCAATTTTTCAACTTTTCGATATTTTAATTTTTCAATTTTTAAAATTCTAGATTTTTCCAGTTTTCAGTTCTTCTATGGATATTTCAGTTTTTCAATTTTCGGAACTTATTAAATTTCAGATTTTCCATTTTTTTTTAATTTTTCGATTTTCCAGTTTTTCGATATTTCGATTTTTCAATTATACGATTGTTCAATTTCTCAATTTCTAAATTTTAGATTTTCCAATTTTTTTTTTTATTTTTTCATGTTTGGACTATTTATTATTGCTAAAAATAAAAGTAAAAAATAACTACCAAAATTGTGAGTAAAAATATGTAAAAATTAATAGAAAATAGAACACATTGCTGCCAAAACAAAAATATCTAT